TATGTTATTACTGCTGCTCCATAAACCTTAAAAGGCAGTCGGAACATTCAGGGCTTCGCCCTGATACGAGCAGTCTTGTAATTTTTTTTAAAAACAACTAGTTCGAAATGTTTTGAGGTGTTAATGTCGCACATATTTCAACAAAAATTCAATGTAAAATTAATGGACGTTTCCATTACTTGTTAACTATTAGTATTCGTTCCATTAATGCACTGTAGTTTGTTTATGGCGAGTTCATCTGTTGAATCGGTTCTCAAAAGTTAAAACTCTTTTTGTCGTTGATGTTAATGTTAGTGTTAAAGTTTACAAATTCTTTGTTTAGTTACGAATGTTATGTTAAATAGGATCTTTCTAAAAGTGATTTTGAAGATTTAAATTATTTGAGAAGTTATGATTAATTGTTTTTCGACTTAACGAAAATTGTTGAAAGATCTTAAATATTTGCTAATCAAATCAATTCATTCCTGTAGTAGAACTAAATTTTTAGTATAATTAATGGTCTTCAAATTTATATTTGCATTGATGAGTTCTAATTTGCAATACAAATGTAACCAATTTTGAATTGAAATGTCGTGCAAAGTTTTGTTTTGGTCAAAAGTGAAAAGAGTTTATATTTAAGTCTGTACCATTCATTTCCCCAGACTGTTAAAAGAAAAGATATCCCTAATGATAGCTGAAAGACAATGTCAGCATCATTCATGCCAGTTGGATTCGAAAATTAGTGACACATTATACCATGTAACAGCAGGGGAAAACTATGTGAACTACAGCGATTGCAAGTATGACTCATAGATGACCTATAAAGCAGCCTAAGCTAGGATTTAGGGGAATTACTGAAAAACAGTAGAAAAGAAAGTGATTTAAAAAAAAAAAATTGAGAACGCATGTATATCAGAACTACTTTAAGTCTAGCTGGAAATCCTTTGGGACAATGAAATTAACTCGAGTTGGCGTGTTTTCTTTGCACTTGGTATTTTTGTTGCAAAAATGCACTTAGTTGTTATTTGGATTCTGAAAAAAAAATATTTAAACTCTTCTCTCGATGATGAGAAAATAAATCAACATGTTTTTCTACAATACACAAATTCAAAAAGTCAAAAAATGTCAAGTGACCTTGGAAGTGAATTCAATAGAGGTTTTTAGTACGATGAATTGGAGTAGGAGGTCTGCAACTGGTGATATAGTGTAGTGATAAAGCGTCTGCTTGAGGGTCCAAATGTCCCAGGTTCGATTCACGGCCAGTATGTTTTAGTCGCTTTATAAGATTTTCAGTTTTCTGGCTTTCGTCTCAGTTCTCGTCGGCTTTGTTTCGGCTCTGTTTTTCAATCGGGTGATCAATTTAAATCTTTGGATCCTATAGGTAAAAGACTTAGGTTCTTTGAATGCTAAAAGACTTAGGTTCTTTGAATGCTAAAAGACTTAGGTTCTAACTACTGTATATAGAACCGTCGATTTTTTTCTGCTGATGATTTTTCGGCTTCCCCGTTTTCTACTAGAAACCGAGAAGCCGAAAAATCTTCGTCAGAAAAAATCGACGGTTATATATACAATAGTTATATATACTTCAGTATATACAAAAGTATAGCATTCAATGATTTAAAATGATCGCGCCATTGAAAAATACAGCCATTGAGAACTGAGACCAAAAGCCAAAAAATAGTCTAAGAGGGCGGTAAAAAGATTATGGCCGTGAATCTCTGTCATTTTTGTTACGAATGTAAATAATCTTCATCTGCGTACGCGTGCTTATGTAATGACATTTAAAGCCGTACCTCAGAGCCGTCTAATGATTTTTACAACAAAGTTTCGATCTTTTTTCTGAATAATTACACTTTCGATTAGCAAGTGTTATCAAATCGGAATATCGACTGTTTTGTTTGTGTTAACAACCTGTCTACAAAATATGTTGAGCCATTTTCTGTGCTGCCCACTTGCTCAAGTTCGTTTAAAAAAATAAATTTTAAGTAATTGCTATTAATTACTGGTAACTGTTTATCTAGAATTCTTACCATTGTTGTAAAATTTTAGATTTGCATTATCTTTTACTGATGGTTTTTCGGCTTCGTACTTGTCGACTAAAGCTCTGTCGGCATAAGCTCCGAATTGCGTAGACCACCTTGCAAGCACTACTCATATTTAACTTGTGGATCCTATGTGGGCAGTACCCATAATTTTTTTTCTATAAGATGTTGCCGAAAAGTTTTGGTTGATTTTCAGCTTAATGGCAAAGAATTCTGTCAGCTTGCTTGCCTAATATTTTGTTGCTTAAAAACATCCGGTTTTGTTTTTGAGATCGATAAGACTATTCAAAATCAACCTCACGAGACTTTTCTAGAAAATATAATTAAATTAAGACCTGGATAAACTTCATTTTTTCAAAAGAATTATACTAGTTCCTTCAATGGCAATATCGTTCGAATTCCTTTTTGCTACTTCTTGAGTGACATGCCGTTTTCATTCTATACTTGTTCTATCACGCTCATACGTGTTATCAAGCTCAGTTCCGCCTGTTTTAACTTTTTTTGTTCGTTTTTTTTTCGTAATGGCTTCAAATCTGTCAATAATTTTCTGATATATCTCAAGTTTTTTTTCTTTAACTACTTTTCAACTGAAATTTCAATTTAAAGTTCAACTTAAAAGCTAAAATTTATTTGGACAAAAAATTTTTTTTAAGACCCATTAAAAATTTTTGAAGGAATTCTTGCTTCATGTAGTGCTCCATCTTTTATCACGCAAACATGGGATATATCAATATGGGATAATTAGGTTACACGAAGAAAATTTAAATATATATATATATAATTTTTTGATTTGAAGTTAATGAGCATATAAAGGTTTTCGAGCTGATTTTCATATCAGTTTTGTTCCTGTTTGATAAAAACAGGTGTTATGAAAAAAAATTTTAGTTGGGGTTTTATATTTTTTGAGACCCTTTCGAAAAAATTTTCGCTTTTCTCAAAAGTTTTAGTTTTTTCTCAAAAACTACTCTGCCAATTTTCAGAAAAAGCGGCACCAATGGAAAATTCGCCTACTCCCATGTGTGCCTGCAACATCTCCTAATCTCTTCTTAACTTAACCCTTTTTCTGCAGCCTTCAAAAAAGTCTGTGGGGGAGTTTTTGACTCAAATTTATGGATTTTTTTTTCAAAAACTAACCTTTCAATTTTGAGATTTTCGTTTCAATTGATAGAGCGGTTTGTGGGAAGCTCCTCTGCTTCAGCGGTTACGCCCATTTTTTTCTACACAAAAAGTTATGGCCCTCGGAAAAGTCAAATTTTTGATTTTTTTGCCCGTTTTTAAAGCTTTTTGACTTTTCTGGTTACTCTCAAATTATATACTCTCAAGTTTTGGTTTTTAGCAGTTCTTAAAACGTACCCTCCTAAGTCTGACATTTGGATTTCAATCGAAGGGACGGGTTGTGGCAGCTCCCCTGCGTTAGCGGCTACGCCCAGTTTTTTTGACTGTTCTGAAAAACTACGGGCACAATTCTGAGATTTTGGGTTCAATGTACAAAATTGTTATGAGAAGCCTCCCTGAAGCAGCGGTTACTCGCAAATTTTTTTGTTCACAAAAGGTTATGGCACTCAAAGTAGTCAACAATTTGATTTTTTCAACTTTTTAAATCTTTTGACTTTTGTTAAAATCTACGCGCTTAAATCTGAAGATTTTAGATTCAATGAATAAAACAGTCATGGGAAGTTCTTCTCATTTTTTTACACAAAAAGTTATGGCCCTCGGAAAATTCGAATTTTTGATTTTTTCCCATTTTTTCTACCGACACAAATGTGAGATGGGCAATGCAAAAAAAAACAGGTTTTGTGAAGCTCGCCTGAATCAGCGATTACTCCAGAAAATTTTTATAAAGAAGGTTATCACCCCCAGAAAATTTTGTACCGTTTTTGAAACTTATGAATTTTCTTGAAAATTACCCTCCCAAATCTGAAGTTTTGAGATCAATCGAAAGAACAGGCTGTGTGAAGCTCCCCTGAGTAAGCGGCTACGCTCAGTGTTTTTCCACAAATGTTTAAGGTCCTCGGAAAAGTCGAGTATTAGACCAATTGCCCAATTTTGAAGCTTTCGAATTTTTTTCGAAAAGTACCCTCCCCTATCTGAGAGTTTGTGTTCAATCAAAAGAAAGGGTTGAGAGAAGCTGACCAGAACGAACGAAGACGTCCAATTTTTCTTACAATTAAGTTATGGCCCTCAGAAATGTCGTGTTATTTTTTTGAAACTTTTGACTTCTCGAAAACTACTAAGCCGAATCTGATATCAAGGGGTTAATCGAGGAAAAAGATTGTGGGAAGCCTCTCAGCATAATCGGCTACGCGTTAAAAAAATGTATAAAATTTGTTGTCTTAAGGAAGTTTCCAAATTGTCAAAAAATTTTAACCTTATTTTGTTAGAGAAACAATAATTTCTCAAAAAATTTCACTCTTATTTTGTTAGAGAAACAATTGAGGTTTTGGGTGAAGCCCATTTTTTTGAAATGATCTATTTCATCCCGTATCAACCAACAAAATCAAAAAATTGTCAAACAGGTTTGTCTAGCTTTAGCTAGACCCCTATTCGTTTCTGTTGAATTTGCGTACAGATTCTGCAGCAATTTAACAATTTTTGCAGTCTATCTAGTATCCAGATTATTTCGAATGACGTTCGAGTAATCTACTAATTCACTCTTGTTAATGCGTTCTAAGTACAAAACTTGTGAGCTATATATACGCAGATTTTGGATCAATTTGATTTTCTCCCTTGTGGAAATAAAGATCCATGACAAATATGAATGTCCAGGAGTTGTAACTTCGACTTTCTGACAAAATAAAATACTGGCGAATGCCTATATTTTACATGAAATGCAGAGTAAGACTCTCGATGAATTGTGTTGCTTTGGAATGCATTGCACGTAGAGTTCTGTTTAGATAAAAAATTAATTTAAAATTATGAATTATTTATTTGTCAATACCAAATCAATTCAAGTTATGCATAATTTATCAAATCCATATTGCTTCTTGATATCATTTATCACCAGCAACCATTTGTCAGCATTCATTTTTCTTAAATTCATTGCCTATTTCAAACCATTCCGTTTTTCAGAGCCCAAAATGAGCTCTAGAATTACGAAATTTACATCTAAATTTCATTTTACCACCTTTGTTCGAACTTTATCCTCAACAGTTACCGCTAAAAATGCTGACTCATCAGTTCCAAGGCCTAAACCTCTACCTCAGGCGTCGTTAGAAGCAGAGCATATCTACACTAGTCAACATGTAGAACTCAGAGAGTCGTACTCAAAACTGATTCAGAAGGAAATTGAGCCCTACATCGATGAATGGGAGGCAAAAGGAAAGATGGATTACAATAACAGAAAAAAGTTCAAATTAGGGGGAAAAATCAGATTATAGTTGAATTCGCATCCTTATAGAAAGATTTTTGTAACTCACAGATCAGAGTTTTTAGCGAATAAGATGTTGACCATATTAGTTGAAGGATATCTTTTCTGCCTAGTAAGTTGAATGTTCTCAATCGAACCGAAGTTGCATTTTCAAAAGTGATCACTTGTGGGTTAAACATGGAATATTGCGTCGATATTTGAAGCCTAGAGGTAATAATATCGAAAGCTGAAGTGTGTGGAGAAAAAGCTTAATCAAATGCCTTTCACCCTTACATCATTTTATCAGGAACCTTCTTTAAAAGCGTCATAAGACGTTAATTTTTGCCAAACAATTTCCCTCAGTGAAGCATGCTGCAAAATCAAGCATGCAATATTTCATTGATGAGTTTAAGATAGTCTTTTAAAATAATTTAAAATAAAGACTTACCCTTTGTGAGACACAACAGAAAGGCGACATTTAAGATAAAAAAATTTTGATAAAAAAAACGCGTCGAAACTTGTGAGTTTCGTATTTTTTAAAATGATAGGCCTGATATTGTAAACTACCACATCCTCAGGAATATTTCCGGCTCACGAACTGTTCAAGAAGCTAGGAGATGCAGGCTTCCTGGGGATATCCAAGCCAGTCGAGTATGGGGGCATGGGGCTGGAGTACAGTTATGAAATCGCTGCGGCGGAGGAGTTAGGAAAGTGCTCTTGTGGGGCAATCCCGATGGCAATTGGTAGGAAAGTTTTCGGACTTATGTAACAATCCCCCCTTTGCAAAAAAAAACGAATATCCCCCTTTTGGGGGCAGATTCGTTACTAGAGACAAAATGCCCATATGCTTAGTCGTTGAATTTGTTCATTATATGGAGTTATTTTCTATTATTATTTAAAGAAGATCCATCTGTGGGAACCTATGGTAAGTTATCATGGAAAATTTTATTCAAAAAAAAAAACAAACTGAACCTTCATTTGTGATGTCTTTTTGATCAGTAATGTTATTAATGAGTACATTAAATTTGGCTTCATTTGAAACCTTATTTCCTTAATATCTGGCATACTCTTGCATATTTGACATTTTCAGTGTATGTTTTTATGGGTTAAAATTATTTTGTGGTGACCGTGAGTGGAGGGGGTAGTTAAAATTCTTTCTCCCATATTATCATCTAGACAAACTGATGACTATTTACGTTTAATAAAAGTAGATTTCTTTCATCTTTTCATTTTTTTCCAATCTCTTCTGTTTTGCTGGGCCATAGTAGGAACTGAACCGCTTCAGAAATTATGCAATTAAGAATTAATGTTAAACGATAGTAAAATTTGTTGTTCATTCAAAGATAAGTCAATTAGAAGAATTACCCAAGGAGTGGGTTAAAGACTTTTGTGTACCTGGCGATAGTCCAGAAAAGAATTAGTACGAAATATTCGGATCAGTTTTTCTCGATTGATAACTTCTTTGTTCCGACCGCTTAGAGCGGGGAAGAAACTTGTATTTGGGTGTGTTTTAGTTTATTTTTCGATCACTGAAAGTGGGGAGAAACTATGCCTTCGGGCTTTAAGTTTTTTTCTTATTTTCCCATGCAGAATGAAAAAATAAACAGATCTTTCCTCGTAGAATTTTGCTTTTTTCCTGTTTGATGTTCCTAATAAATTTAACTCCCAAATAGCAAATTTTACAATTTCCCCCGCCCAACTTCACCCAGATTCTCCCTTATGCAGGCAGCACTTGAAAAACATAATCAGTAGCTTGAAAATTTTTCCCGTTTGCTTAGCAATCTTGGTTTTAATTAAAAAATGGATAAGTTATTTTTCTTTTTGCAAGATTTCATATTTTTCTCAAGATGATGAAAACAATCTTTTTTTACTATTGCTGCGATAAGAGAAATTGTCATCAGTGCTTCTGAGTGCAAAAATTTGAACCAAATATAAATTATTTAGTTGAAAAAATGGTGGCGCTAATTCTTCTGTCTAAAACGGACTTTCAAATATGCTTCATCATATGATCAATGTGACTTAAAACATAGCCAATTCCAGCAAAACCAGCGGGCCATAAAATTGTAAATCAAAGCACGACCATTATGCTTTAACTGCAGTTGAATATTTCATCGCAGATCAGATCACGCCTAGCGGAAAATTTGAAAGCTTAAACAACTTGCCGTTCACGCTCTTTAATTTCTGTTCACCTGCGTTCGTCTTTAAAAATTTTGCACCAAAAATGGAATTTTGACAATTGCAAAATACGATGCGCTCTTTGACGTGTGTTAAGATTGTTTCAAAGATCCAAAGGGTTTAAGTTTCAGACAAAAGGGGAAATAATAGGGTTTATTCATGCGTCAATGGGCTTCCATTATGCTGAATGATGCTGAGTGCAAATCTCAAATTGTTTTCCAAATGTCACCAAAGTACATCCTGTCTATATAACTCCTACTGTTGAGTTTTAATTCAAGGGAAAATGTATTTTTTTTTCGTAATTGCGTCAGCCAAAATTAATTTGCAATTTGTGTCACAAAAACTTATCGTTTGTGTTCCACGTATTTATGACATGCTTTGTATCGATGATCGAATAGTACAGGTTAGGTTAGAAAACAAAACTTTGAGAAACAAAAGTTGTTTTGCAATAAAAGAAAATGGAAGGTCGTTTTCAAAGGAGGGCCTTTCTCATCTGCTAAAAATACTAAAAAAGCAAAAAATGGGAGACAATTTGTACAAAATTAATTGACTCTGAAGCAGCAGGTTTGCCTGAAGCAATAGTCATGCCGTTTCAAACGTTCCAAAAGAAATTTGAAGGATATTCAAACAAAAATGAATAATAATTTAATTGCAAAGTTGATAAATAGTTATTATTCCATTTAGTCGAACTGTTTTTGCTTATTTGAAAAATAGTCGAAGAAATCCAATTTTTGAAAAACTTTTAATTGCCAACCAGGCAGCCTTCTCCTTCTATGTTTTAAGAGCAATTTTATCGAATTACTACTAGATTTTCCTCGTAATAAAATTCATTTCGCATATATACTCATTACACATGCGAGCGTAGTGTCTTATTGCGGTATCCACTTTTTTGTAACCTAGTCGCAAATAAGTGCTGATACAAGTAGCACAGCATCAAAGTGGCACAGCATCAAAGTTTTTTTTTGGTTTAATGTTGGCTAGTTCCTGTTTGATAAAAAACCAGGTGTTATGAAAATATATGGGATTTGTTTTTTTTTAATGATTGCAATTGCGGAAGCAAATGTCTTTATTTTTTGAAACGATTCGGAAAGTTTTTGCTTCGTTTGCTTGTCTGTCTGACTACTCTATTAGTTTCTTCTTACTTTACTCGATTTTCTACTGTCATCGAAAACTTCACTGGGGGGATTTTTCGACCCAGTTTTTTGGATTGTTTTCATTTTCTCGAAAACTACCCGGTCAAATGGGAGATTAAGGGAGTAGTCAAAAGAACATGTTATAGACATCACCTATACATAAGCTGTTACATTTTTTTTGTAGAAAAAGAGTTATGGCCTCTTAAAAAATGTCTCAGTTTTGAAATTTTGACCGTTTTTTGGCAAATTCATTTTCTCAAAATCTACCTTGCCGAACCTTAGATTAAGGGTTCAATTGCAAAAAAACAGTGTAAGGAATTTTCATTGCATAATCTGCAATGCCTAAATTGTTGTAAAAAAAATTACGGCAAAAAAGTTGTCCAATTTAGAAATATGGATTTTTTCAAAAACTACTTGACAAATTTGAGGTCAAGGGTTTGAGGTCAACAAAAGTTCACCTTAGAAAATGAGCAATTGTTGAATTTTTGGCTATTTTCGAAAATTTTTCGAATTAATTATCTCGAAAGCTACGCTGCCGAATCTAAGATTAAGGTTCAATCGAAAGAGCATGCCCTAAGCAGCTAAGTTTCTCATAGTGGCTATGTCCTTTTTGTTGTAAAAAAAGCCATGTTTGAACTAGCAAATTCCATTTTTTGCCGTCTAAATTTTGAAATTTTGACGTTTTTGTGGAGGTTTTTGTCGAAAACTAGCCTGCCAGATCTGAAAGCAAGATTTATTCCAATCAAAAGAGCAGGTTCGAATAATTTTCTCTGCATAGCAACTAAGCCTTAGTTTTTTTTAGAAAGGTATTGTTCAATTTTAAAAGCCATGTTTTGAAATGCTGGCTGTTTTTGGAAATTTTTGAGTTGTCTCGAAAACTACACTGCCAAATGTGAGATTAAGGGTTCAGTCGCCAGACCACTTGCTAGCATTTTTCTCCTTATAGTGGCTACGCCCTTTTTGTATAACGGTAACGTTGGAATTGCAGAAGTCCTTTTTGGAAATTAACCTTTCGAATCAGTATATTTAATGTTTGTATCAAACAGGTACGTAAGGTTAAATAAAGTGAATCGGCGATGGCGATGGTGCTAGGAAATCTGACGTTAAATCACGAGGTCTCGGGCTTGTTTCCTGCACATATCAGAGTCTTAGTTAAACCTTTTCTTTCCTGATTCACTTTTTGACACTTTGAGCTACTTTTTGCCCTTGTATCTCTTGTTTGCAAAGCACAGATTCGCCTATCTCTGTAACCTCCAGTAACTTCTAGTGGTAGTTAAATTCTAGAAGTAGTCTTTTTACAACGTTTTTAGTGTTGCATTCTTATGTCAAAACAAATCTGGAAATCTATCTGTCAAGAAATAAACTAAAAATGCCATGAAATAAGTCATTACGCTTGCGATGAGCAAACATTATCAAATCAGAATATCGACTGGTTTTATTCATTTTTTAACTTGTTTAACAGAATCACTTGAATCATTCAATAGCCTGGTAGTGATAAATAGTGGGTTGGAAGCATGCTTCAAGTGAAGGTTTCTGGATAGTTTTTTCTTCGACTTCTAAAAAGAAGATTTGCTCGATTGAAATGTTTTGACAGAGTTTTCTTTATACCACCGTAAAGATATTTTATTTAGTTCAAAATTGAAAAGAAATTTAAGCTGCGACCAGATTTTGCAACGGGAGATGTGAATACTGCTATTTACGGAAAACCAATGCGCTCTAGATATTTATTCAGGCGAAGCGTTTGCGGTAAATTAATCCGGCTCAGAAATCATTCCAATTTGAGCCGAGGGAGTCTAATCTGATCAATTAAAGCGTAAATAGTTTCTGAAATGCATTAAGATTTGATGTTTTTAAAAAATCAATCTCAGATTCTAACGATAGCGATTAACAAGCGTTATTAAATAGGAACATAGACTCTGTTTAGGCTAACAACTTGTCTCTCAGAATCACTGAATCATGTGATTGCTTGATTTTTAATTAATTCAACTTCACTTACTATTCTGTGCATATGGCGAAAAAGTAACATCCATGCCTGGGATGACAAAGGCACAGTGTTCGAACCCTGTAAGGACGTTTTGTTTTTGCAATTGAAAATTTCTACAATTTAATTTTTCAATCATTTTTATGATTGCAAATTTAGTCTGTGCTGCTCTGGAAAACAAAAATAAGCTGGAAAACTGAAAAATATCGAAATTATGATTTTACCTGATTGCAAAAATCTAATAACTCCTGTTTTTCTTACAAACTATTATAAATCGCCTGTTTCAAGTTTGCCAAATTATTTTTCTTTTCAGTCATAATTGCGTTGTAAACTGGTCGATTGAGCATACATTAGAAACAAGTTGAAGTTTTTCAATATCATGTCGAAGTTTTTGTAGCTTTCTCTTCGCTTGTGTTTAAAATTCTTTAAATTTTCAAAAAGAAAATTAGTTAGACGTTTTAAGGGAACTCAGAACACCCGATACGAGGAGTTTTGTTCTTTGTAAACATGCATCCGCGCCATCAATGATTTATCAACTGAACGCGTACCTAGAATTGATATAAATGGCTAAACAAAATTGATTACTTGAGAATGAAAAAAGCAAAAGGGCTAGGATTTAGAGGGCAATCGTTTCTACGGTTTTTTTTCCTCTTCATTTCTGTTTTGCCCTTACAGATAAACACGTGCAATTGTTTTGGTCTTTTTTTCTTTTCATTCTGAGTTCATGCACTAAAAGTTTGGCATTTGTTAAATTTACCAAAGCACTGTAATTGAGGCAATCGTAAAACTTGAAATTGGTTTTGATACACAAAGAAAAGTTAACACCGTTTTTCATCATTCAGCTACTAAAATCAAAGACTATTCACGCTTGCGATAAGCAAGCGTTATCAAACTGGAGTATAGATTTTTTTCGGGTTAACAACTAGTTTAACAAAATCAGTTGAATCACTTCTTTTCACTTCACTTATCTTTTCTTCACTTCTTTTCTTACCTTCTCCTAACATGTAACAGGTTGCTGCTGCCCCCTTGACCTGGAGGTAAAGCAGTTGCCTTTGTACCCTAAGGTCTGGGGTTCGAGTAATGACTGGATATTGTTTTTTTTCAGTATCAAGGAAATAGAAAAAAAATTCCGAGAAAAATGAGTTGTTGGTTTTGCGTTTGTTTGCTCAGGTTTTGTCGGTTAAATTGCCGCATGGATTTTGCTTTTGCTGGAGACAATTTTTCTTGTAGTTGCAAGTGCAAATGTTGTTCATTCTAATTTCAAGGGGGGCCTGAAAGCTTTCAAAAAAATCATAATTTTTTTTCGGTTCAGTTGATGTCTGCTCAAACATGGTCGGCTTAGTTGCCACATCACTGATTTTTTATGCTGTAAGCAACTTTTCTGGTAGTTGCAAGTGCAAGTGCTTTTCATTGTACTTTCAAGGGGGACTTGAAACTTTTCAAAAAAATCAAAAAATCGTTTTTTTTTTTTTTTTTCAGTTCAAGTGGTTTCAGCTCAAAGATTGTTAGCTAAGTTGCCACATCACTGATTTTTCTTGTGCTGTAAACAACTTTCATGGTAGTTGCAATTGCAACTGTTGTCCATTGTTGATTAAGGTGGGGTGGGACCTCTAACATTTTTCTTAGAAAGTCATATTTTTTTTAACTCAACTTGTGTCAGCTCAAAGATTGTCGTCTTTGTTTCTTCTCGTAATTTTTGTTCCGTTGTTGCTGATTTAAAATTACGAGAAGAATTTTCTCGTAATTTTCTCGTAATTCAAGTGTCTGGCTTTTTTTGTCTGGAATGAACTTTATCGATACATATGAAAGTTAATATGACCTAGTTTTTGAAAAATCTTCATTTTTGGCGTTTTATGTTTTTATTTAATGTTAGTGTTGTATCACAAGTTGTGCGAAGCTCCGCTTCACCTCTGTGTAAAAGTTTTCAAGTTAAATGACTTCTTACCCGAAAAACGGAAAAATGCACAAAACTAAAACTGTCTAATTGCCGAACCAAAATGAGTTGTTGAAAGTCTGTTGCGTGCAGGTAATAATTTAAGACATGTGACAGTTTTGTGGTAAGGAAAAGGCTAACAATTTAAAATCCGTGTTTTCACGGTTTTCTTGCAACTCATTTTCCTTTTGTAGCTTTGAGTTAAGCCCGTGCATGCTTTTTGCCTACATCGATTTTTTTTTCATTTGAAATGTAACCTAATAAAAGTCGACGTTATGAAACTTTGCAAATCTCCTATGCTGATACAATCGTTAGACTTCTAAATTGTTAGTTGGTTGTCGATAACCTCGGAATCATATTTGACTTTTTTCATTTTTCAGCTGATCTAATCTAAGACTAGAAATAGGCAAAAATCAACAATTATGTGGTTTTACAAAAAAGTGTGTGTATGCAAACGTGCTCTAGTAAAACTACTAAATGATACTGGCAATATTAATAGTATCCGAAGCAGTTCATTTTTTTTCACCCAAGGGCTGCTAATATTTTGCAGTGGAGAAGCAGGGTGTTAGGAGTCTAAAAATATTTCTGCAGTGAAAGTAATGAACAATCTTTCAAATCCACTCAGGGCCCACTCTTTTTGCAAACCAAAAGTTTTCTAACTTAAAAATTGATGGTCGGCTTATCTTTTCTCTGCTTATTTTTTTAGTTAGTTACCACAATCAAATTTATTGCCACAAGAGTTTGTTTGCAGTTTAAGCATATTTCACAATATTGAAAATATTCATGATATAACCCTGTACACTTATGAAAAAAATTCAATTTTGTGGATATACGTTTTGAGGACGATTTTTATGATAAATTTTTTTCTGTTATTTTTTTCTCCTTTTTGCCTTATGAAAGCAAAGAATGGAGCTTGCCGCAAATTTTGCCATCATCAAATCGTGTGAAATCTTAACCAACTCATTTGATATGTTACGTGAAATGTTTTTCTTCTGTTTCAGTTGGTCTAGACACAGAATCAAAACAAATTTTGCAAACAAATGTTGATTATTTGATTGTCTATTGATTTTCAAAGGAATGTCTATTTGGTTATGAATGACAGACAGTTGGTTTTGACTGGCAGCTGGCTGAATTTGGTTTTTTGATTGACATGTGGTCGGTTTTAATTGACAGATGGTTGATTTTGTTTGACAGGTGTGCAGTCGGACATGTCCACTCCAGCATTGGCAAATTTCGGGTCCCCATTGTTGAAGGAAAAATTCCTCTCCCCCAGCATTAAGGGAGAAATGGTAGCATGCATTGGAGTTAGTGAGCAGGGCGGGGGGAGTGACGTGGCCAACATTGTCACCACTGCCAAGAAAAAGAATGGATACTATTACATAACAGGTAATGTCATACGATTACATAACAGGCAATGTCATAGATTACATAATGTCATACGGTTAAATGTGAACAGTGATGATCAATATCGAATCCGAGCTGAATATACTAATAAGCTTGAACTAAGAATTAGATCGATGAACGACATAACCGTTTCACCGCTTCATAACCTCAGTTCTTAAGCTCTGAATCATGTGGTTCTCAACACTCCTGTCGCAGCGCAAGACCAGTTCACATTGGTCAGGTTCAGACGTATCATCAATAATGAATTCGAGTTCAAGGTTAGGTTCTCAGATCGGATGAGAAATATTTTGCGATTACATAACAGGTGATGTTACATGGTTGCATAACATTTACATACGTAACGGGGGTTGAGAAATTAGACGATAAGCAAATTAGACGGAGGTACTTAAAAGGAATATAGACGATTTTGCAAAAATGCAATTGTGAGAAAATAGACAAAAGTGAGAGAGATAACAATTGTTTGCAGACAAATTGCACGAGAAAAATATAATTGTTTGTAGACAGCAGTTAAATTTCAGTAGCCATAATTTATTCAATTCAAAACTCTCGTTTTATTTTCGGATTTGACATTTTTTGTTCATTTAAACTAATTGTTAATTTTATGTATTTTTTGTATTTGTGAAGCTTGACTCTGAAGAAAAAAGTTTGTTGGCACTTTACTTTTCATAGCTTTTTCGTCTAACATGCCAGATCTGTAAAAATTAAATTCCGTCTAATTTCGTTTTTGTAGCATCCGTTTAATTTGCTTATCGTCTACTTTCCTAGGCCCCATATGTAACATGACAATAGGTAAAATATCATGCGCTGATATTTGCTGCTTAATGTTGTTTGTATACAATGGTGATTATCTGAAAAAATCAGTCGCTAATCCTTTTCGTCGCCATGCAATGCTTCAAAAAACTCAAAATTCATCTGAAAAATGAGCAAAATAAGGAAAAAATTTGAAAAAACCTGAAAAATATCCGATGAGATAAGCGAGAGAAAACTTCTTCGCGTAGCTTCTAAATTTTCTTTTTTCATTTTTTGACGAAATATTTGGTTTAAATATTATTTTGTTGTTCCGACTTTCGTAACGAAATTAACGGAATATTTGAATGAAAGAAGCAAAAACACAAAGAAATAACCTCATTAAATCAAATGTTGGTCCATTTTGTATTTTAAACACTTAGTTACTCAGCTTGAGATTGTAAATTGGACATCCAAATCTTTCGAATTTACGCTCAAATAATTAATGAAAGCAAACGAGCGCATTCAATTAAGACTGTCTTTTGTGCCAATGAACTTGCATGAAAGCATCTCAAATCAGCTTGCGTTGGCATGCTAGAAGACATGTCTCTTGTAATTATATGACCAATTATACAACCAAAGTTCAATTGCTAGCTTTGCGAACACGAAAGAATTTGTTGGTGACCGAAAAAAAAGAACAAAATTAAAGCTTAAATTTTCCCCAAATTTAGCGCTTTAAATGGCGTGTTGTTCCGACTTTCTTGACGAAAGTAACGAGATATTTGTGCTGGGGGTGCGTTTCTTTTTCTTCAGACAAATTTCTTTTTTATAACTGGCCATTTTTGACGGAATTTTTTTTACACCATTCGAAAGGTATTGTTGTCCTGAGCTTAAGTTTGAAAATATATTTCACCTGTGGTCATTTTTCGTAAAGTTATGGTGGTTTAAAGATTGGCATTTTGGTCAATTAGGGACAATTAACGCGCGATATATTTTGCGCTATTAACGCGTAAGCGGAGATTTAATCCGTCTGAGAAATCATTCCAAAGTGGTTAAAGGAAGCTTAATTGCCATAATTAATATGTAACTAGGAACGAAATTGATCACTGTGTTCTTTGTATGGCGTGTGGGGGATGATTTTCACAAAAAATCTCAAATTTGTTTAAATGTTACATCATTTTTTTAATAACATTTATTTTTTTCATGCTATTACTGCATCATAGATCTTAAAAGGCAGTCGGAGCATGCAGGGCTTCGCCATGATACGAGCAGTCTTGTTGTCTTCGCGGGTGACACTCAGCAAATTACATTCGCTTCCCCTGTTTTCAGCAATCTGTTGGCAGATTAGATGTTCTGAAGTTATTGTCTACCAATCATGAGCTTAATTTTAATGCGTCAAATGCGGAGTGTTGCCGCATTTTGGCTTGTAACGCCAATGGCAGCGAACATGAAGCTCCCGTTGTTCAAGGTAACTACGATGTTCCGGTTGCTTGACATATTTAGGACTTGAAATTACTTGAATTCTGAATGCAACTTTTATGTCTAGTTTTGGAACAGAATACCGAGAAGTTTTCAAAAAAACATAGGTTTATAAAAATTCACAAAATTTGAAATTGGCATCCCTGTAGGTGGGTGCTGTCAGGGTACTTTCAGAAGTTGCAAGTCTTGCCTCCAATCGTGACTGCTGAAATGCTTTTAGTTTACGAGATATGTTGTTTTTCTTATGATTTTCTTCAGAGTTTTCAATCAATTCAATACAAATTTCTCAAAATTTGAGTTTCGCAACCTTATTGTGAGGCTGTGTCAGGGTATTCGGTGGCGTTGCAAGTTTTTCGTCCAAACTTGACTGCTTAATTTTTTGTAGTTTTGAGATACGATGTTTTTATATGATTTTGTTCAAAAATTTTCAGAAAATTAGATTCACAAAAATTCTTCCAGCCCTAGAATTCGGCGCTGATGGGATACTCTCAGAAGTTGCAAAATTTACCTTCAAATGTGACTGCTAAAATGCTTTTAATTTCCAAGTTGTCAAGGTTTTTTGCAGTTTTCAAAAATTTGAAATTTTCAGAAAACGTAGATTAAAAAACTTCACAAAAATTGAAATTCCCCAGCCTATAGTGGGTTGATGTCAGGGAACTTTCATGCGTTTCAAGACTTACCTCCACTAGACTTCTCAGATCCGTTTTGTTTCCGAAAGTTAACGTTATTAATCATTTTATTTGTTTTCGAAAAACTTATCTATCGCTTACCTGGCAATCTATTATCTATCTATCATATAAATTTAAATGCGGGCTTCATTATCTTGCAATGTTTAATCTTTTTCAACGTATTTTTTCTGTCTAACGAAATAATTATCGCTTTTTGCAATGCTAAAGGTTTTTTATTTGAATTCAGTCATTATGTCACTTAAATTTGAAATTAGTTAGCCAATAAAGCTAATCAAAATTCTTATAGTTTACGAGTTACGTTGATTTTTTCGAAAACTTTGAGACAACCTAGATATATAAATTTTGAAATTCTCAACTCTGTAATTGGGTGCTGTCAGGTTATTCTCTGCAAATCTTGCCTTCAAATGCGATTGCTCAAATGCGTTTGGTTTCCAAGTTATGACATTTTTTCAAAATATAAAAAAACTTAACAAATTTCCCAACCCTATAGTGGGTTGCTCTCAGGTTATCCTCAATTGTTGCAAAATTGCCTTCAAATTTGACTGCTCAGGCCATTTTGGTTTCGAGATGTGACGTCTTAATAGTTGTTCAAAATTTGAGTTAAAAAAACTTGAATAAAACAGTCTTACAAATTTTGAAAATACCAACCCTACCTCAGAGGTTGCAGATCTTGTTTCCAAGTTTAACCGCTCTATTCATCTTAGTTTCCGGGTAAGCCAATTTTTTTGATTTGTCAAATTTTCGAAGCACCGGAGGTGAGTTACGCGCTAAATTTTTTGGAGTGTGAATTTCCAATAACTTTGATTTCATGTTTCGAAGTTTCATTTTTTCGAACAAAAATGTGTGTTTTACTTTCAACTCTTGTATCGCAAATAGTGTGAAGCTTTGCTGCTGCAGCTTTATTTAAGATTTTGAAGCTAATCACATCATGGTTTTTATGATCAATAATTCTTCTTTCAGTTTCAAACTCTTTTGAACACCCAGGTTCTTGTCTTTTAAAAATTGAAAAGACTGTAATTATACAATCCAATTAGTCTGGTTTCGTTTTGAGAAAGAAGTTCAAAAAAGGCTGTCTGAAGGTGACCTTTTTGAAAAAGAATTGTTATCAATTTGAAGCGTAAAATGTTATCATCTTGAATACCATCAATGTGGCGACGATGAAAATTAATTTCAAATAGGACAGACCTCTATTTTAGATGACAAGGGAACGAAATTCATTATGCAATGAATCATTCGTTTATGTTTTATTGTTTCATGCAGCAATACTAATGGAAATTTTGAGGGCATTTTAGTCAAATTTGGTTTAAAAAGACCCAAATTGTTTGCTTTAAGAAATAATAGTTCTTTAGTTTTTAATAATAATTAACAGGAGTTGGCACGATTTTTCTTTGTAAAATTTTTATTAGCGAATAAGTTAAATTCCTTGCTAGTACAGTGCTGATTTAAATTATCCGGACTAAACGAACAAAACTTGAATTTTCAAACGCGTTTTTCTCAAATTGGGTTAAGATTAGACAAAAAGTGAAGAAACCAAAGTTGCTTAGAATTTCACCAGAATTAATATGATGCCATTTTTCCCCCGAAATTCTCAGCCAAATTTTTACGCCAAAAATGGGTCATTTTGGCTTTTTTCAATTAATCAAGAATTACGCTGAAACTACTTTGTTAATTGATAAGAATATTATATCATTAGAAGCCTCTTACGCAGCCCAACAAAGTTTAAGAAGGGTTAATTCTCCAAAAATTTGCGCAAATTGTGTAAAGTTTGTTTTTAAGCAAAGATTCTGGGTTTTATATAGTAAAAATCACATTTATTGATTATCAAGTGAAAATTTTTTCTCTTATACTGGTTTTTGGAGATTTATCCTTTCTTAAACTTTGTTGGGCTGCGTAAGAGGCTTCTAATGATATAATTTTCTTATCAATTAACAAAGTAGTTTCAGCGTAATTCTTGATTAATTGAAAAAAGCCAAAATGACCCATTTTTGGGGTAAAAATTTGGTTGAGAATTTCGGAGAAAAAATGGCATCATAATAATTCTGGTGAAATTCTAAGCAACTTTGGTTTCTTCACTTTTTGTCTAATCTT